CAGGTTTAAATACTTTCTTGCTAACTCTCGCTCATAGAATTTGGTCTGAAATGAATAAGTCAAAGTCACCCCCTAAGGGCGGGTGGTTGGTGGGCGGACGGTGGGCCAAACTTTTTTTCGTTTTTGATCCCATGTGGATTTTAATAAAACCCGCTTAGGTTGAGTGTCTTAATGAGCGGCCGCAAAAAGCAAAAATATTCCCTCACGCCGGTCCCTCCCCCTGTCTCTCCCTCCTCCCTTACCCTATCTCCTAACTTCTTTCCATCTTCTTTTTCACAAAAATCCTACTGGTTTTGAACCTGGGACCTTCTGAACACTAAGCTGATGTCTTACCCCCTAGACCACCAGCACCGCTGAAATTTATTTTCTTTAATCTTCCTCTTAAGTTACATCTTCGGTTATAATTACAGAAAAATCTTATTAACTCCATTTGTATTTTACAAAAACTTTTGATGGTTCCGAACCCCGGACCTCCTGCACATCAGGCCATTGTCTTACCCATAGACCACCAATGTCACGGAAATGTTTTACCTTTCATCATCCTCTTATGTTACAGCGTTGTTATTATTACAGAAAAAATCTTATTAACTCCATTTCTATTTCATAAAACTTTCGTTGGTTCCGAACCTCAGAACTCCGGCACATTAGGCCAGTGTTTTACCCATACACCACCAATGGCACGGAATTTTGTTTCCTTCAATCTTCCTCTTATGGTACATCTCGCTATATAATTCCAGAAAAAATGTCATTACAAAAATTCTTTCAGTTTCGAACCCCGGACCTTTCCTTTATTACGCCGGTGCTTTACCTCTAGGACACCAGAACATCTATGCTAGAGCTTTCTGCGATGCTCCTCATATTCTAAGACTTGGTTTATAGCTGCAGAAAAATCGTATTCATTCATTCATTCATTCATTCACTTTTCAATTTCTATTGACAAAAGACACCGTGGTGTCGAACCCGGTACCTTCCCAATACTACGCCAATGTCTTACCCACGTACCCCCAGATCTAGACAAATTTGTTACCTTCGCCTTCCTCATATAGTGCGACTTGCTTCCTACATGCACCAATTTCTTTAATTTTCTTTCTCCCGTAAATAGTCATGTCTTCGAACCACGTATCTTCTAAACCATACGCCAGTGCCTTAACAAAGGACCGCCATGGTTATGACAACTGTTTGCCTTCGTCTTCCACATATCCTACCGCTTCGTTTCTACAATATTCCTCTTTACTTCTTGCTTCGTTTCAGTTATTTTACGATTGACCGTTGGCCAGTCACTTTCTCTTAATTTAGAGCCCATTCAGACGCTCATGACCAGATCTTAGTCTTGAAGTAAGCGTCGCTGTTTGGCCTTTAATAAGAATCCTTTCTGATGTCAAGACAGGTCTATCCCTTCTCACTTGTCACAGTCAATTACTTTCTATATTNCTGTATAAAAGGAAACAAACACGTATAAAAAGAAAATTTATTCACAAACTTGATAAAATCCTAAAAGAACAAA